CCAAGTTAACTATAAACTTTTATTGTTATCAATAGTTTTGCGCATCAGAATTGATCTGCAGTAAAACAACTGGAAACTCACAACACATGTGAGTTTCCGTGTAAACAGGAAGCAGATTGTGTACTCCGCAGTTGCAGAAGAAAGTTCTACAAGAGACAAACGAGAGTGTTTATATCACACTGCCTCTGCCTGCTTTCAAACACACAGATGAATGTGATTTTCTTCATGATCACGTGATCCTTTTGCAACAGAGTCACCCACTGCTGTGATGACGTCACTGAGCTGACCTCCAGGTGTGTTTCATGTTTTTATATCCCAGTGGGGACGTTAACCTGAATACACACAAACCGGACTTGTGTCCTCATAATTGAGGACCTCAGTTATTGTCTCACAGGTAGAGGCTGCTTTTTGAGGGTAAAGACTTTTTGAGGGTTTTAGGGTTCAGGTTAGAATCAGGCTCCGGTAGGGGTGTGCCAATGAATCGATACAGCAATATATCGTTATACATTTTTCCATGATACTGTATCGACATTCCAGCCCATCATATCGATACATAAATAAAAAGATTGACTGTTAGCTCAATGCTAACATATAATGGGAACGGACATTAGCATTGCGATCACAAAAATATAATCTTAACATAAACTACACATTTTGCGTGACACTGTGCAAATACTTAAAGTTCAAATGTTCCCTTAGCTCTGTGTGAAATAAAAAAAAAAATAACTTGCTTGATCTGCTACTCGGCTGCTTCTGCACTCATAATTTTTCATAGCTGCCCTGTAATTCTGTAGTTTTAATTTACAGGCTGAAAAATGTGTGCTGCAAAATTGTGCTCTTTTCTAACATTTTAGATTTGCAGCAAATAATTAGAGAAAACTTTTTCACTGGTATTTTGTATTCATAGTTCATATATCGCAGAGTTGCTGTATCGTGATATTATTATCGTGAGCCGTGTATCGTGAGGTACCCTGCGATTCCCACCCCAGTTAGGGGTATTAATCCATCTCAGTGACTCTCCTTGTGTCGTCCGATGACTCCATGGATTGGAATGGGGAAACAAAGGCAGGGCATGGGCTGACGCGTGTATCTATGGACACGCCTCAGGGTGCACCAGCCCGGTGGAGACACCCACCGGTAAGTGGTGAGGGGAACCCATGAGTGCAAGAAGGGCATGTTGAAAGCTGGCGTGAAGGTTGGGGTAGGTGGCTAGAGATGCATTATGTAAATGAGATGTCCCCACAGGGATAGAGAAACTAACGTGTGTGTGTGTGTGTGTGTGTGTGTGTGTGTCCTCTCTGTCTACAATCAGCAGTTCATTGTGTGTTTTTTTGTTTTGAAGCCTCAGTGCTCAGATTTAACTGGTCACCAACAGTCGCTGCTTTTGCTGCTGCTAAACCTCTACAAATAAGAGAAAAAGAAACCCTTAACCTGCAAAGCGTGAACTGCAGTAATATTTAGACCTCCTTTCTGTGTAAATGAGCCTCACTGCAAAAAAAGACCAGTTCACAAACACCAGCACTGCATCCACACTCCTACGATCTCCATCCAAAGCATATAGAAGTGTTATTTACACAGTACAAAATATTTCCCTAAAAAAAAAAATACAAAATCGTGTTTCTGCTTTGCGTGGCTGATAATGATGCGTTCCATTTACCTTGGAAGTAGAAGCTCGGGGATGGGATTGACATCAAATCCGTAAAAAAAAAATGGGAAACCAGAGTCGGATGCGACACGACAGGTCGACTTTTTAGCAGCACCAGTTTATAAACAACACATTACATGGTGTTTCACACATAAAATGATTGTAGCAACACGCCTGTGGGCAGTGGTAAGACAGTTTTATGTATACGAATTACTAAAATGGACACAAAAAACACAAGTGCTAGAAAAACCACTGCTTTTACTGACAGTAGATGCCCTTCACAGCCATCTTGCTTTCGGAACTCAAGGTCCTCTGAGTTTGTCCGAGCTGACAAGTAGGAACTCATCGGGAGGCGTTCCATTTGTCACTCCCAGTCTCGGAACTCGGAATATACCTCGGAAAACAAGTTCCGAGTACAAATAGAACGCACCATAAGACCCAATCAGGAAACCAAACGCGATCGTCTGCTTCATCGTTTTCAAAGTCCTCCATTTTCACCTGTCCGCACTAAAACTAAAACGTGGTCAGCAGCGTTTTCAAACTTAGCAGAAGCTGAAATGTAGCAGAAGGTCTGCGTTGTTGAAACAGAAACATTGCAGTGTGGCTGGAGCCTCAGAGGGAAATCATGAGCATCTTCAGAGTGTTGGCGGTAACTTTAGCACATTTATAAGGGGTGTCACAGCAGGACCAGTCCTGCAGAGAGCAGCGTAGAGAAAACAGCTCTCCATGACCGAGACGCAGGAGAGGGCAAGTGCTCAGTTACAGCAGCCCAAATAACCATCACTCTGACAAAACACTCCATCCAGAGGGAGCCGCAGAAAATCCAGAGACGTCCCGCAGAGAGAAACAAACGAAAGAGCAGTTCATAGATTACTCTTTCAAATCAAACATCTTAAGATGTGAGTGGAAAGTTTTGTTCTTGCATTTGAAACATTTTTTGACTCGAACGTTTCTTCACAATGTCGTGTGCTGCTTCGGCTTTAAGAACAAACATCACTGGGACCAGACAGGAAAGTGCAGATTAACATTTAATAGATGCAAAACAAGAGAAAACTGCAAAACCTGACGGCTGTGTTTGTGCTGGAATATCATTAACGCAACATCTTTGTGAATCAAACCTCCAGACTGTCAGCTGGACTTAAGTTTGCCTCTAATATTGTTATTATTCGGTAACAGTAGTGTGAGTCATCTCTCTCTCTGTCTCTCGCCTGTCTCTCTCTTGTTTCCCTTTTCATCGCTCATTTCCTTCTTCCTGTTTCCTGTTGGGCTCCACTTCCTGTTCTCAGGGACGTTCAGAGTGTTGTCCTGCAGTCCGAGGACACGGTGTTCTCCCGGAGTCTGTGTGAAAGTTTTCAGAGTTCAGGGAGGGCTGAGGTCGAAGGTCGGGGGGTCAGGATTATCTCAAATTTAATGCAAGTTGTTGTTTTGGCAAAATGTTATTTAAACTGAAAACATTCTCAGTTGTTCTCCTGTAACATCTGATCAGAAAATCCACCAATCACAGTGCAGGACCTGGACATGATGTGCTTTGATTTCACAGAGGCAGACATGTGAGCGCCGTCACCCAGCGTGAAGTCACATTTAGCTTCAGATTATCAGAAAAAAAGAAAACACAATTTCATATTTGCAGAAAACAGTTTCGCTATCAGAGCTGTTGTGTCAACAAACTGATAACACCGCTGTGTGGGTTGTTTCTCAGGTGCGTCAGTCATCCTTCTTCAGGTTTGTAACTCTGCAGGTCTCAGACACTGTTAAACAGGTTAATATTCAATTTAATTCAATTTTATTTATATAGAGCCAAATCACAACAACAGTTATCTCACAGCGCTTTTCATAAAAGAGCAGGTCTAGACCGAACTCTGTGATGTTATTTACAGAAGCCCAACAGTTCTCACCAAGAGCAGCACTAGGAGACAGAGGCAAGGAAAAACTTCCTTTAAGAGGCAGAAACCTGGACCAGAACCATGGCTCAGGGTGGGCGGCCATCTGCCTCCACCGGTTGGGGTGAGAGAGAGAGAGAGAGAGAGACTACACAATATACACACAGAGGTACAGACAGTAAAGGTGATGTTGCTATAGACTAAATGAAAAATGGTACAGATATTTATAGTAGTGTTAATGATTATAATAACAATAATAACAATAGGACTAGTAACAATAGTTGTTGCAGCAGAGGGTGTCGAGCAGGAACACGGGGGCAGCAGGTGACGACATGCGGCTATACATGTCATCACTGGTCAGCCGCTGGCTTCGCTAACTTCACGTTTCTCAAAATGGAGCTGCCAATGATCAGAGCTGGTTTCTCAGCGGGTGTGTCGCTGAGTGGGGAAAATCTGTTCGAGACGTGAACAGGTTGATGGTGCCCCGTGGACTTTGAATGCTTACGACTATTCCTCCTTCGGACAGTCCCCCCTTTCCTGGCTGCACAGGGGATGCCGTTCCGCACCGACTACCGGGGACTGGCTAGCTACAGTAGCTAAAGACTGATCTACCAAGGTGCGGAGCCGGACTTCTAAATCACTGAGCCTCGCCTCCATGTCTATAAATAAACTACACTTATTACACGTACCATTATCGCTAAAGGAGGCAGAGGAGTAACTGAACATCTGACACACCGAGCAGGAGAAAGTGGGAGAGAGGGAGAAGGAGAAGCCATCGCTAGCTGCTAAGCTAAAGTCGCTAACAGCTAAGCTAAAGTACTGTAGCGTCAGCTACCAAAACTTTTGAACAACTATGAGATTGAACAGCAGTCACTAAAAGATGGAAAGAAGTGTGAGTGCTTAGGCAAAATTACTGTAAGAATAAGTGTTTAGCGAACAGTTGGCCGCTGTAATCTAACAAATGTAACTGTTTAGCGAGAGCAGCACAACACGGTACCAACACACAAGCACCATAAACGGAAATGAGTCGACACGCTTACTGCTGTGAAACCAGCAGTGAATGTATCTCCTACCACAAACTGTATAAAAGAAATGGACGTGACCGCCGTGACGTCCCCTGTTGGTTTGTGAACTATCATTTTGAAACTTCCAGTTTGGCCTTTTTTAGCTAGCTAGCTTAGATAGGTGCATCTGTAATTCACGTTAACTGTGATGTTAGCTGGGATGCTAATTTTGGCTAGCGACAAACAGGCTTTGAACAAAACGTACTTACTGAAAAATGAGCAGCCGACTTATGAGCTTTTTCTGCGGCGCTGGTTAAATGTGCACAGAGCAGCGGAAACGCGTCGCCTCTATCCTGATTGACAGGTTATCAATCAGCTTGTAGCCCCGCCCTAAAGCCTCCCCTGCTTCCTGGTCTCTGTTCCTCTAAATGGGACCATAATTTACTAAACGAACATCATGTCCTCCTGCAGGTCGGCCCGAGAACTGCAACTGCACGCCCAGTTAACAGCTAACCAACCAAGTCGGCCAGCTGACTGGTGAAGCAGTCCTGTGGTGGAGTTCAGGCTGTTGGATGGCCACAGGAGTGAACTACTGCAGCTCTTATGAACCCAGTTACAAGGTGAGATTAACTAGTTTACATTTGTTTAACAACACTGCTGACAGCCGTTCCTCTCATAATCACATCTTTATCATGAGAACTCACACTCACGTGATAATGTGCCTTAATGTTCCCGAAGACGTTGGATAGACTTTATAATCCTGAGATTTCCAAAGAATCATTATTAGCAACGAACGATGCCCACATTACTGCTGACGCCACACCAGTCCACCTATCTGCCCTCAGTCATGAATAAGACCCAGAGATGTACACTGCCTGCAAACCACCCTGGTGCATCGCTGAAGGTCCTGGTCTTATGAAGCCCACAGAACCACGTCATCTGCAAAGAGCAGAGAAGCTCTGTGCTGTATCCAAACCAGCCCGTTCTCATCACATGGCGTCACATGGATGCTTGGTCATGACCTCTTGACGTCGCTATTTAACTCCCTGGGTACCGTTTAGCGTTGTTTTGACACTTGGTCTGCAGTCAAGTTGGCAAGAATAAATACGCAAAGTCCGGTTAGACTTTCACCACAACTTGGTTAGGCAATAAATGTACTTGGTCAGGTTTAGGAACCAAAACTACTTGGTCAGGTTTAGGAACCAAAACTACTTGGTTTAGGAACCAAAACTACTTGGTCAGGTTTAGACACCAAAACTACTTGGTCAGGTTTAGGCACCAAAACTACTTGGTCAGGTTTAGGCACCAAAACTACTTGGTCAGGTTTAGGCACCAAAACTACTTGGTCAGGTTTAGGCACCAAAACTACTTGGTCAGGTTTAGGCACCAAAACTACTTGGTCAGGTTTAGGCACCAAAACTACTTGGTCAGGTTTAGACACCAAAACTACTTGGTCAGGTTTAGACACCAAAACTACTTGGTCAGGTTTAGGCACCAAAACCACTTGGTCAGGTTTAGGCACCAAAACCACTTGGTCAGCTTTAGGCACCAAAACTACTTGGTTGGTATTTTGTGCATTTGTCTTGAAAACTAAACAAGTAGACTCATGATACCATTAAATCGCAAATTGTAATAATGTCCGTAATATAACCTTTTCTTCAAATTGTGCAGCCCTAGTTAGGAAAAGACCATGGTCTGGGCTATGTTACTTACATGATTTAACTTACTTATAACTACGAAGAGTTAATGGTGACTTTTTGTTTTACACAGTAAACGAACACTGGTCGGCTGACGCAGACTTTTCTGATATTTATACTAGGCCTACTTTTAGTGTAACTATGACGCTAAAGGCTGCCTTCTGCGTTGGGATGTGACCAAGCGCAGGTATTTGACGCCCTAGGAATGAGAGCAGGCTTGTCCAAACTGGAAAGGGCCGCCAGCCCTGAGTCCAGGTTCTGCTCCTGGTTTCTACCTGTTTAAAGGAAGTTTTTTTTTCTTGCCACGATGACTAAGTGCTGCTCATGGTGGGAGCTGCTGTAAATATTATAAAGAGTTCAGTCTGCTCCTGTTCTGTATGAAAGTGCAATGAGATAACTTCTGTTATGATTTGCCGCTATATAAATAACATTTAATTGAACATTTCATTATTATAAGATGAAAGATTTCATCATGTTAAAAGAGCGTTTTCATTATATCGTGATTAAGCTCTTTTATTACGAGATAAAGATAATCAATGAACCCAGCGACCCTGTACGCAGGATAAGCGGTTGACGATGGATGGATGGATAGATAATCAATGAAGCGTCTCGGTTGTTTGTGAATATGATTTTGTCCCATGTGGTTCAGTTTAACTCAGTAACTCTGCTTCACCTGTGTTGTCTTTGTTTACCTGCCTGTGATCGGAACTGAACATGTTCTGCAGGTGAGTGAGTGTGTGTGGGGCGGCGAACAGGAGTCGAGCAGCGAGGAGGGAGGAGGCGGGACCACATGGGAAACACAAGCCATGGAGGTCAAAGGTCAACTCATCTCAGCACCTGGTGAGAGCAAACAACAACAATATATGTGTGACTATATGTTAATGAGGACAGTTGTGTTACCTGTTACGTGTGTGTGTGTGTGTGTGTGTGCAGACCCTCTCACCTGTACAAACAGGAAGGAGAGGGAGCGAATGGCAGAGCTGCAGGAGAGGAGGCGGAGCCTGCAGGCGCTGCTGAGCGCACGATTGGCTGAGCTGAGACGCATCTGTCTACAAGAGGCGGTGAGTGATGTCATAATTAGACTCCTTCCTCCAACAGGGATTGTTCTCCTGGATCTCTGGTCCTCTCAATCCTGGGGCGAGTTCAGCGCCAACAAAACGTAGCAAAACATCTTTTTCAAAGGAAACGGTGGTCCTGCGAGCGCTCTGTATTTTCCTGCCTTTTTAAGAGAGACCCATTAAACTGCTTTTCCAGTCCTATATTGTAGTTCTGTGACTCCTGTATGGCAGCTTTGCATCATTCAAAGTTCAAAAAATCATTTTCTATCTTATACTGTCTCTTCATGCAGGCCTTCATTTCAGCCTCTGTCTGAAACAAGCTGTAGATGCTCCTGTCTCTTTAAGGCCCCCCCTCAAAGCCCACTGTCTTCTGATTGGCCAAGACCTGAAGCATGTTACCAGGCTGTTGTCGCTGGGCGGAACAGGCAGACTGAGCGTTGCCGTGACGTTGCTATGGGAGCAAATGACCATATATGGAACAGCGGCTCCGTCTGGCTCCTGGTGTCGTATTACGGAGCCGTTGGTAGAAAAAGCAGTTGAAAGCAGAGCGTTCAGAACAGGAGGAAACTGAGGTTTACGCTCACAGGGATTTCTTTTAAATACTTTAACCTCATTTGAAGCTTTGGTCATGTTTAACATGAACATCCAACATTATAACACTGTAGATAAGTCATAAAATGTGGAAAAGCACAATAACAAACTTATCGCAGATGATTGGGTAACACCTGGGACACGCCCACCAAACAGAAGAAAACTTACCTCAAACGGGTGTAAAGCGTTTTGAGTCTGAACTCGCCCCGGGCCTGGGAGAGGAATTGTAGTACAAGAAGCGACTGCTGAGTGAGTTTAATATGATATAATAGAAGGTGGGTTTTCCTGTGTTTTCATTGGTCAGGAGCTGACGGGTGCGGTGCCCAGTGACTTCCCCCTGGAGGCGGGAGAGAAACCCCCCTGCGTCCGACGGAGAGGTGGGATGTCTCGCCAAGGGAACAGGAAGTGTCGAGCAGAGGTGAGGAGCTCTGAGTCCATGTTGATCTGACATCATCGATCGCCGTGAAATGACCTTTAGAATAATAAATAAATAACGGTTAAACCGGTCGATTGATCAGGTCTGCACGAGACCTTTGAGACCAGACTGAACCTGAATGCTGCCACCGCTGTGTCTGTGTTCCTTCCTCTACTGATTCAACTCGTCACGCTAGTTCACGATTTTAAGCCCAGTTTGTGAGTCGCTGTCTGTCGGGCTGTGATCGGGGGCAAACAGCCATCGATCAGCGCTCGCCAATTGTTGTGTGACCTTCTTAACCAAGCATCAAAACCGCCGACGCCAGACAGTTATGTCAGGAGTCGACCGACTCGAGATCCACCTCCAGCCAATCGGAGCAGGCAGCTACTTTCTTACTCGCCTCCGACTCTCTGCAGCTCGCCGTGAAATGACAGCAGGATGTGCCGGTTCGTTCTTTCACCCAGATTTTTTATCTTTATTATTTTTATCTTTTAATTATTAACATGTCCTGTTTCGCGTCATTTCACGTGTCACTTTTCACATGTGTTCTCGTCAGGTGACAGTCGTGTTTCTGCTGGTGACGCTCGAGGACGCGGACGATTGGCTCAGACGAGTCGGGCTCAAATAAATAATGTGGAGTCAAATAAGATCTTCACTTCCTTCCTCTGTGTGTGTTTTCAGGAGGAAGACTCTCAGCGTTCGAAGCCGAAGAAAACTTTATTCAGCGGCGCTCTGAGGAAACACAGCGACTCTGAACACAACAGCAACACACAGACACACACACACCACGGCAAGAGGACTGTACACAGAGGCTGCCACACAGGTAACACACACACACACACACAGGTAACACACACACACACACACACACACAGGTAACACACACACACACACACACACACACAGGTAACACACACACACACACACACACACACACACACAGGTAACACACACACACACACACCACAGCAAGAGGACTGTACACAGAGGCTGCCACACAGGTAACACACACACACACAGGTAACACACACACACACACACACAGGTAACACACACACACACACCCACACACACACACAGGTAACACACACACACACCCACACACACAGGTAACACACACACACACACACACACACACCACGGCAAGAGGACTGTACACAGAGGCTGCCACACAGGTAACACACACACACACACACACAGGTAACACACACACAGGTAACACACACACCACGGCAAGAGGACTGTACACAGAGGCTGCCACACAGGTAACACACACGCAGGTAACACACACAGGTAACACACACAGGTAACACACACGCAGGTAACACACACAGGCAACACAAACACAGGTAACACACACACACACACAGGTAACACACACACACACAGACACACAGACACCACGGCAAGAGGACTGTACACAGAGGCTGCCACACAGGTAACACACACACACAGGTAACACACACACACACACAGGTAACACACACAGGTAACACACACACAGGTAACACACACACACACCACAGGTAACACACACACAGGTAACACACACACAGGTAACACACACACCACGGCAAGAGGACTGTACACAGAGGCTGCCACACAGGTAACACACACACAGGTAACACACACACAGGTAACACACACAGGTAACACACACACACCACAGGTAACACACACAGGTAACACACACACAGGTAACACACACACCACGGCAAGAGGACTGTACACCGAGGCTGCCACACAGGTAACACACACACACACACACAGGTAACACACGCACACACACACAGGTAACACACACACACAGGTATCTAATGTTAGCTGTTGATCCACTTAAGCTAACACGTGTATGTACGTTATTTCCATATTGCCAAAGTTAATGTGAAATAAAGACTCCGAGCAGATCTTAGACCTACGTTTATGTAGTTTGTCCGAGTAGCTTAAGTTAGCGACCGTTAGCTTAACTTGATATGAACATT